GCGAAGAGCATGCCTGTTGCAGAAGTAGTGGGGGAACCCATAAGTGTGCTTCGTTTTCATCTTGGAGCACACCTGTTCATTCTGAGTGTTCACTTTCCACTTTATTTCAATATTGTGGGCCTGATCTGGCCTCTCCATCTTTGCAGTGTAGGGTAAAACTGTATCGGGAGTTAACATTTTTCTTACACTGAAAATGTATTTCCGATAGGCACTTACTTCTTTTCACACACTTCCCACTGTCAATGTTCTTCTTTTATAGCCTGCCAGTTCTCAAAAGTGAGGATTGAGCAGGAATAGCAGAGGGAACTATCTGCACCAATATAGGTGGTGCAATACTATTGGTGGAGAGTAGTCACATGTTAAAAAATGGCAGGAAATTGATGGGGTGTATAGACTGGTGTGCTAAGCACACACAATTTTTAACAACGCTTGGAGGGTAGAATGAAGATTGAGATAGCTTTGTATGAGCGGAGTAATTACCTTTCAGAATTTTCAGTGTAAGAAAATGTTAACATTAAGTATCCTATTATTCTGTAAAACAAGCTTTGTAATACATAAATTAGTTAATGAAGATATGTAAAATATTTTAGTAGGTCCCAAATCTTTAAAGTTTCATGTTGCCTTTGCATGTATAACCTAATCACTTGTGTTGACCTGCCATTTCTAAACAGATTTTACCAATTAAAAATATGAATAACAAACCATATAAACCATTATAGATTTTTGCTTAAAAATTTGCTTTTGTATTTTATCTCAGTTTGAATTTAAATTATACTACATATGTTTTTTGCTATTACTATAACTCGGTGGCATTTGCCATACATTTCTGAAATGGACTTACTTATTTAAAGTTTGAAAATAAAGAGGTAAATGATGTTCTGTAATTATTTTTCCTTCAAAATCTGTTTTGGTTATTTTAAATTTTTTATTTATGCTTTTCTAATAAATAGTGAAATCTATTAAGAAAATAAGTTTTATTTATTTATTTTGAAAATTTCATCCAAATGTACAGAACATAACATATTAACACATTGCAGAGTAAATGCAAAGAAATTGTGTGCTTTTGGTCAGTCATAATTATCAGAATTGTCCAATTCATATGAGTAGTTCACATAAGATTTTTTTTTCCCTACTTTTGATAGTCAATAGTTTCCTCCTTTTTTTTTTTTTCTTTGAGAGAGGAAAATATTTTTCTGCAGTAATTGAGTTATCTTGTGAATATAAATAGTGTCATATGGGAACAAGAACAATACTTGTGTAGAGGATGAATACATTATACTAAAATGATTTTGAATGTGCAAATTAACAACTCCTGATAAACACAGTTGATATAGTTACTGTAGAACAGAATATATCAGGACTACATTTTGACATTGTTTGACATTTCTTAGGTATTGTGATGGCACCAGAAATTACGTACTTTTGGGAAGGGTATGTAACAGATTGTTTGAGAAAAAATATTCATACACTGAGATTATAGGGATGTGTTAAGATCAGGAATTTAGAACTTGTACTCAATAATATCCTTTTTACTTAATGCATTGGTAAACCAAAGAAATATGGATAAACTTAGGACACCAGGACTGTCAAGAAAGAAAAAAAATAGTTATGTCTTGTAGGTGAGAACTCTCGAACACAAAGGTTAGTGGCAAAAGCTGTCTACTTGCTACAGGCAACAGTACACAACATAATCAAGAAAGATCTTCATTTGAAAATGAGGAAAACAGGGTATGGGTTTATGAAGACAAGGCTTGCAATCAATTAATACCTTTGATTCAAGTGTTGCATACATATAGTAGCTGGAGAATGAAACTGGTATTTATCCTATTCCATACACATTGGTCAAGTTGCTGAATGCAGCACATGTGGATTTGTGTACAGTCTGAATGTTGAAATGGGTGCTGGGAAACCCCTATCCTCAAACAACACAATATGGATTATGGAAAGCCAGCAGTAAGGATTTGTGTGCTTTAGACGTGACAGGCTTTTAGTAATTCCTTTTGCAGTGGAAACTATGCTGCAGGGCTATTGTCAATGGGGGGTGAATATGCATTTTTGAAAGTGCTTGAAAAGGGGCCTTTTTTGCAAAAGTACTTTAAAATATTATAATAGGAGAACATATTGATATATCTAACTTTAATGCATGCTGCAGAGTTGAGTGCAATAAATAGTCTTTCTTTTCTTTTTAGTCTACATTCGTATTTTGAACAAATAAATAAGAATTTTATAATAATTTCAGTGGAATCCAATTGATATAAATTTTAGCTTCCAAAAAGTGTTTGAAAAACACTTGAGAGTGCTTAGAAAGTCCTTGTAAAGTACTTGAAATTGATCTGCGCAATTCACTATGAACCATGTGTCAAGATGCACAGTCATAAAATAGAGTATGACTGGACTTGGCGACATGGACTGTAATGATGTGATGAGGTTTCAAAGTAATTTAGATATAGTTTTCTCAACCTGTGAATTAGGTATCTGTGGTTTTATTAAATCATGAATACAGTAATTGTTATTAGTGGTGGAATCTGGATATTTAGAATTTATAATTACAAAGCATCAATGATTATTGTCTTGGTTTTCATACCTAGATGCTTGTACTGATTCATAAAAACTATATATTTATTGACATAGTTAAGATTAATAAAAATGTAATTTCTGAAATGTTGCTTGAGAGAAAAAATTTTAAAAATATATCTTAACCACCAAACCTATTCAAATATAACATTTGTTAATAAAGATGATTTTAGTTTGTTTTCATGACTTTCAGGAGAACTTGTTAAAAATACATTGTTGAAGTGTAGCTATAAAAAAAACTTTACAAAAAAGCATGTAGAGAGCAGATAGTTTTTTCACAATAAAAGTTTAATGTTTTTGACAACCACAAATGTTGAACATCCTGCTAGAAAGGGTTTTGAGAGTTAAAACAAAATGATAGTTTATAAAAGTGTAAAACAAATGCCCTGTGTTTATAATGTATTTATATAATCCTTTCATTCGATCATATTTAACAGGTAGGCAAGATTTAGACTTGGAGCAGTCTTTTAACAGTCATGTTGGCATCGCCCATACTCGCTGGGCAACGCATGGTGCACCAAGTGAGAAAAACAGCCACCCTCAGCGTTCTGATTTAACAAATGGCAAGTATTAGAATAAACTCTTAAAAAAGATTGATTGTGCTAGAAAAGCAGAACTAAGCAAAATAGCACTGTTACATTAGGCTAAACAGTTTACTGTCATATGTAAAATAATATTATGATTGAATCATTTGAACTTTAACTAGCCTACGAGAAAACATAGTAGTTGGAGCTAATCAGCTAGAATGTGAAGTAACTAATTGATGTTTGTCTTTTTTTTCCTTAACACAAATATTAAATGAAGCAGTGAATGAAAGAGTGAAACTCATGACCTACATTTTGTTAAATATGCCATTATTTTTTCTGTTAACCTTCAAATTAACTTTTTTTGTAACATTTGCTGCTGGTGGGGCTTATTATTGCATTATGTATTGAGTAATTTTATGTTAAAAAGAATTAACCAAAGAAATTAAATTATGTAACTTATTGTAAAATAGAGAAGAGTTTCTAGAAGTAATTAAGTGGGTTATTTGCAATATTCATGGCCTTTTTATTTATATATATTTTTTATAACTTACGATAAATAAAATGCTTTTTTTTTTTCCAGAATTTGTGGTTGTGCACAATGGTATCCTCACAAATTATAAGGATATAAAACAGTTTTTGGTAAGTGTGAATTCTGATTTTGTGTATCTTTATTTTTTGCTTAATGCTTAAATGATGTTTATTGTATAATTCAATCCACCTACAGTGTGTAATTTGGATTTGCTAAACTTTTTGAAAAATTAATTATGCAAAATTATCACATATATATGGCATTGGTGGGAGGGAGGTTCATCTCTGTAACTATTGTTTCATCAAGTTTATCATTTGTGCATTTTTTAAATTTAGTCCTCTAAATTTACTTTTCCACTATTACAGATTAAGAAAGACCATGAATTTGAGTCTGATACTGATACAGAAGTAATAGGAAAGCTTTTGAAACACATTCATGACAACCATCCTGAACTTACATTCAGAGAGCTTGTGGAACAAGTGATCCAGCAGTTGGTGAGGTTTTGTTTAATTATTATATTTATTGTTTGTTCAAAAGAAAATTTTTATTAGAAACTAATTTTCTCTCCAAATGAAGTACATTTTATCATGTTAATTTACGTTGATAATGTGAAACTGAATGACAACAGATACAGAAGTTTTAGTTCTACGTGACTTTACAGTATTCTGTAATAGTTATTCAAAAGAACACTGTAGGTGTACTACAACTTCAATATTTTTGCATAATGTTGTTTATAGACAATGTAGTTGAAACATTAAGACTTGTAATGTTCACATTTTGCACCCTTTGCTAGGGTTTGGTGAAATGTTTCATAATTTGCTGAATATGCAAATATTTGGATTAGTATGCTCAATATTTTATTTCTGATTAATTAACATAGTTTGTTTTAATTTTTGCCTTTGTAACTCAAAAATATCAGAAAGGCATTTACATTTATCAGCTTTCATTTTATAAGCTACAGACTCTTATAATGATAATAAGAAATAACCTCCTGGATGAAACTAATATTTCATTAAGTATATAGAACAATACAGTAATATGATTATTGATTTTATATTTTTTTCTATTTTTTTTTTTATAGGTATAAATTTATGGTTCTTCAGAGTCAATGACTAAATTTTGTTTCTGTAATATTTAAACTGTTTCATAAATATGATATATTTTTTTTCATATTTTTCCCTTAAAAAGAATTGATTTCGGTATCATTTTCATGTGCTATTAATATTGTATAGAATATTTAAAAGCAGGTTCTCTTTTCCTCAACAATTTTTGTGATGTAAAATATGTAAACATGGTTTGAAAAATTAGTTTTTCCAAAATGATAGATAACTTTTGAAAAGTAAAGTAATTAAAAAAAACATATGAAATTTAACCCTGGTGATACAGTTGTAATGTATGAATATAAATCCACTTGTAAAGGTATCTCTTTCATACAGAATGATGGTGATGTACACAATTAGGCAGTTTATAGAAATTACATTGTGTTTCAGGAAGGAGCGTTTGCTCTGGTGTGTAAGAGCAAGAAATACCCTGGCCAGTGTGTAGCTACAAGGTAACAGTATACAAGTCATCATAAAATATTTGGATTATAAGTAGTTAAAAAATATTTTTACAATAATTTCAACATATTAGTTCTGCATTTAATTATCTAAATAGAAACAAATGTGGTTGCTTGAAGTTACTCAGGGGGTTACAAAGTTATTCTTTATTTTTTCATTGTTTTCACAACAGAAACGAGATTCCTTTAACTTGTTTCTTTTTGGAAAGTAGTTCTTATAAGCTGATACTGCTTCCTATTTATCTTCCACACCTCCATTAAGGATGTGGTGCAGCGCCTTGTCTTTGTAACAAGTTTATTGGGCACTTTGTGTTTGCTGTATTAGTGAGGCAAAATGTACTATGATGGTTTCTTTCAATCTAATTCACAAAGCAGTTATTCTATAATTAAGGGTATTACACCACAGTTCTTCCAACAAAATTAAGAAGTAAAAAAATTGTGTTACTTCCCAATTAATATGGAACATTTTTTTTTCATTTGTTAATGGATTTCAATTTCTTTTACATTAAAAAATCAGTTTTGAGCTGATTTTGGAAAAAATGGTTGGGGGTTGAAAATTGTTTCTGACTAAATTTTGATAGGGTTTATCTCAGTTCTGATTGATTTTATAAATAGTATTTTGTGTCATCTAATTTGTCTGATTTCCAATTGGATAAATTACAGCACTCATAAACACCGTATTCCAAAATATTTAACAAATGTGTTATTCCAAGTCATTGAGACGATGATGATATTTATCAGATTAACAGAAGAATATAAAAAATGTTTGGAAATGAAATTGGTTAGAATGAATGGTTGGTGAGTGTAGTAACCTTAGGTATCACTGACATAAACTGAATAAGAAAAGACTGATGTTTTCCAACTTGTATAGCAAACACTTCAACTATATCAGGTGAAGTTGGAGGCACTCAACCAACAAATAGAGCAAAAAATACACCAAGATAATTTGAATTACAGATATAGAAATACAGTCTTTCTAGCAAGCAGTTTACATAGTCTAAGAATTAGTCCAAGAGGTATATATTTATCAACTTAATATTTATCAATAATGTAATTTAGAAAATTATTTTAATCTATACCAACATTTTCACAAACTCTGTGAAGATAGATGACACACCTCTCACCTTGTCTGCAAATTATATGAAACAATATGAATATAATAAATAACGTATCACTTAAGAGTTGTTTGAATACATAGGCTACAATATTTATTGCAGTTGAAATTAATAATTGATTATTGAGTGTAATATTTTCTTGCACTAAAATGGTGTAAGTAGTTCAAAGTGATACATTTTTGGTCAGGGGAGTTCAGCCTTGGATCCCCACTTGGAGAAGACTCCCATTTCTTTTTTAATTTTCAGATATTTTTGACATGCTGAAAAAGCACCACATTTTCTATGAAATACTTGTTAAACAGTATTAATGTGTAAAGCTTTGTTTGATAACAGAGTTTTGTTTAATATCTCTCCCATAAATGTGTGGGCTTATGTTTCATATACTGTTTTATTATAGTTAAGTGAAAGTGGTTATAAAGATGAAGGTTTTATGTAAAAATAGTGAAGTCATGTAAAAATGAGGATAAAACTTACTTCTGTAGGCAAAAAAAACAAACATTTTTTTTAGTTAAATGTTTTGTTGTGACAGATAATGTTTTGCAATTTCTCCAAGAGGAGATAGATTTAACTTTATTATAGTTTCGTTAATGTATTCATACCATTTCAATTACTTTTATATTTTGTCTTTGAAAACCCTATTTTATATTCCTTAATAGACGGGGAAGTCCTTTACTAGTTGGAATAAAGAGTAAAACCCACTTGGCTACTGATTATATTCCAGTAATGTTCAGCAAAGGTAAGTTCTTAAGAATTGTACACCAATAAATATTTAGTTTACACGTACTTAAAAACGTATAGATTTTGGTTCTTAGCACCGATCTTTCGCAACTGTACTTATTTATTGACACTTACAATTCTTCATCTTATTATTGTTACTTTTTTTGGTTGATGTATATTATTCTTTGTTTTAGCATTGATTATATTGTTCTACAACTAGTTGGTATGTGGATGTCTGTGTATTAAATACTAGAAGTTTCATTATTATAAAGGTGTTTAGGTGTGTAAGATTATGCTTGACTCACCCATCAAACATTAAGTTCTTACAATGAGATTATCTATGTTAGTCTAGTTTGAAATGATGATGACCAGTGTTGAACTTATTTTGATTACTACAGTCATACAAAAGGAGCTTGAAATACACTTATAATAATAATAATAATAATAATAATAATAAAACTACTTCAGTCATAAAGAAACAGAATAAGACATTCAATTCAAAAGAATAAGAATACTTTACTCTGGTTATTTTTATCTTTTTCTTTTTAAAGAAAACATTAAATCGTTTGAACATTTTACCAAGTTCTGTTTATTTGCATTTCATATCACTGTGAATGATTGAACATTGAAGACTGAAGTCATGATTTATTCATATCTTTGTAAAACTACCTTTATAATAGAAACAAAATGGGTTTAATGTATTATAAAGATAAAAAAACGAAAATGAAAAACTTACCAGTGTTGTAGAACTTTATATAAACAATCACTAAATTTAAATGTGTTTTGAAGCTCATTCTCAGTTAATTCCAGAGAGAAATCTTTCTTGTGGCTAAGATGAACTGGAAAAATTTGTAGGAAAGCTGAATATTGAAGAGAAGAAAATACAGAAAATATGTAAATTGTGAGAATTAGTGTTTTTAATGTACAGGGATGAGAATCTATTGCCATTTGACAAATTTCCACTACTTGTATAGTCTGAATAGGCATAATTCATTCAAACCTGCTGAAAATTGTTTTTTCGGCTGGATGGAGTGCTGCGGCTGGAGACAAAATACTAGTGCTAGTAGACTAGATCTGAGATTGTCTTGTTTGCTTTGATGCTAGTGCTAAACTGAAATTAATATGTGAAGCTCCATTTTAACTAGCTGATTGGGCAGCTGACCAGTCTTTTGAAGCTGAAGGTATTTGAACACCTAAGAAATGCATAAGTTCCTTAAAATGCAATGGTGGATGATTCTAAAGGATCAGCTAACCAATAAAGTTTAAATCTCCCACCATCCACCTAAATAACATGCATCTCAAAAAATCTCAAATTTCATTTGTGTAATCTCTAAAACCTTCTAAATACATTTCAAATTTTTGTTTTCAGTAAAACTTTATATTTTTTCTGTTATTTTCTTTACCCTAACTCTATACAAGGTTGATCAATTTAACCAACCTTGTAACCACCAAAAATAAATTCAAAATAAATCTAAATTACCCTTTTTTTTTTCTTCCTAGAATGACCACAAATGGTAACGTAAAACTACATTTGTTTATCCTAAGTAGCTTTAAACTTTTACGAGTATAGATCAATTTATACTTGCATTGTATTGTTTTATTGCCCTTTGAACCATGTATAACTAATATTTGTGACATTATACGTTGTAAATCACTTGGGGAATGTGAAGCTCATGTTATGCTATTGAATTATATTACCCACAAGCTGCTCATGTGCATGCTTCATGAAACATTTTATTATATTATTATTATTAATTATTTTACTTCATGTAATCTTAACTAACTTAAAGAGATCCATATTTTTACTATTTATTCACTTTTCTAATAATAAATGAAGAATAAACATAAAAGCATAAAAAAATAATAATAATAAGGTACTTATCCAAGACTTTCTATACTGTTGACTGTCGATGACAGTTAGCCCTACTTTTTATACTAATGATGGTAATGCACTAAATTTTTATTTAATTAAATAATGCACCAAAGAACATAGAATAATAACATGCAAAAAGCAGACAATT